GCAAGATTTTGTAGACAAGATTATTATAAAATTTACATGGAAGGACAGAGAAACTAGAATTACTAGAACAATTTTGAAAATGTATACTAAAATGGAAGGAATCAGTCTACCTGATTTCAAGACTAATTATATAGCTACAGTTACGAAGAGTGTGTGCTATTGATGAGACAGAACCTATGACTCAGAAATGACTCACAAAAATACATCCAGCTAATTTTTTTTTAAAAATGCAAAAGCAATTTAATAAAAGAAAAACAGCTTTTCAACAAACAGTGCTAGAACAAACAGACATCCAAACAACAAGGCAAAAAAGGAAGAAAGAGAGAAAAGGAGGGAGGAGGGGAGGAAGGAGAGCCTCTAAGTCTCATACCTCACACAAAAATTACCTCAAAATGGGTTATGGACTTAAAAGTAAAATATAAATATGAAGAGCAGCAGGAAAGAAATGGGTATAGCTATAAAAGGATGATATGAAGGATTCTTGTGATAAATATGTGTGTCATCTTGACTATATCAATGTTAAAATCCTGGTTGTGATATTGTACGATAATTTTGTAAGATGTTGCCATCAGAGGAAACTGGGTAGAAGGTACATATTAAAACCTCTTTGAATTAGTTCTTAGAACTTTATATGAATCTACAACATTTCAAAATAAAAAGTTTAACATAAAAATAACTAATAAATGCCTCTTTCAAAAATTTAATCCATATTTGAGTTTAAAACAAGAATGGAAATCTCAATGCACCCAAAGGGAGACTTAAGGCCGGAGAGTGGATGAAAGTTAAAGCAGGATGGCTCTTGAGAGATCCATGACCAGCTATTCAGATTAAGAATTAGAATTTACGCCCACCGTGCAGAGGGCTGGTCAGCCTGCCCTGGCCATTGGGGCCACCACAGCAGGGGTCTTGGAAAAATTAAAATAAAAAATAAATAAATAAAAAGAATTAGAATTTAATTTACCAGCAGGGGATAGAAATTAGGGCTAGAGTTTTTGACAAGCCAAGAACTGTATTCACTTTAGTAAAGCCTGAGCTAAGAAATGCTATGAACAGGAATTAAATAATGTGTTGTAAACAGAAATTAAAACTATTACTTTAATGATCCAGGTACACAGTCCAGAGGGTAAGTGCTTGGCAGAAGTCGAATGCCCCATGAAAAATCAGAACACCAATCCTATCTTATGCATGAGGGTAGAGTCTCACATTTTGCACAATCCTTCCAGTGCAGAAATCTAAACTGAAATACTAACAACAAATTCACTTGGAACCAATGTAGTGCCCCTGGCAACAGCAAAACCAAAACCGCCCCCACTGAAATTCTCATTCCTGAGGATAAATAAATTCAGAGTCTAACTGATTAAAGAACACAGTTCCTCCATCAAAAAGCTGAGAATGGAGCAAATCAACTAAACTGTTAAACAAATTCAAATCAGACAACTCCAAGAGAACACAGCTCCAACATCTCATTCAAGTGACCACATCCAAAACAAAGGAAGCCAGGCTTGCACCCCAGGAATAAAATGCAGATATCCTGGTCCACATGGAAGTGTTTCCTTCCTAAGAAAGACTTCTCAAATACTACGTCTGCCCCTAAAAGTGGAGAAGTGATTAGAACCAGCAGATCCTAGGCCTGCCATCCTATGAATTTGAATGTAAGGTCAGCCCTGGGTGAAAGAGAGAACAAATACACTAGATGTCAGACCCTAGACACGTGGTCAGAAGTCAGACATAGTCCAACTACTATCCTTTCAACTAGGACCACTCTAGGTGGACACTGGCAAATTTTGGCACACAAGCAAATGAACTTGAATCCAGTCAAGTAGTGCGAACACAGAAAGGAAAGAAATTCATTTGGCTTTGGTGCCTTTTAAAAATAACCAACCATTAACCATCCAATTATATGTAAAAATTTCCAAGGTAATCCTGCCAGTGGAGTGTTTCTTCTAGAAAAATCATTCACTGATTTGGATGTGAAAATTTTCCATCATCTTAACTACCACTTTGCGCTTTGAACTTTGTATGAATTTGATATCTGAATCTGAAAATGCCTATGTGATAGTACTCTTGTTCCTTGGGGCCATTTGAAATGGAAAGGGTCCTAGTATTCGTCCCAAGCCTGGGATAATGCTAAACAATATGGAATTTTTCTTAGAAAGCACAAGATGAGCCGGGCATGGTGGCTCACGCCTGTAATCCCAGCACTTTGGGAGGCCGAGGCGGGTGGATCACGAGGTCGAGAGATCAAGACCATCCTGGTCAACATGGTGAAACCCCATCTCTACTAAAAATATAAAAAATTAGCTGGGCATGGTGGCGCGTGCCTGTAATCCCAGCTACTCAGGAGGCTGAGGCAGGAGAATTGCTTGAACCCAGGAGGCGGAGGTTGCGGTGAGCCGAGATCGCGCCATTGCACTCCAGCCTGGGTAACAAGAGTGAAACTCCATCTCAAAAAAGAAAGAAAGCACAAGATGAAAGTAGGGAGCAATTTAGAACAGTAGTTGCACCCCTGGTTGCTCATTAGAATCACCTGGGGAGATCTTCTACTTTAGAGTAATATTGACCAAATACCACCTGCTAACACTCACTTATGCTAAGCCAGTGGTTGGCAACATTGACTGCACTTTAGAATCTCCTGGGGAGCCTTACAAAATGCCGATGTCTGGAATCTACTCTCAGACCAATTAAATCAGAACATCTAGGCTGTGGGGTTGGGACGTGGGTCCATTTTTAAAGCTAGCCAGCTAATCTTAATGTTGAGCCAGAGTTAAGAATAACTGCTCTAGTCCAGGGCTTCTCAAACTTCAGTGGGCATCAGAATCTCCTGGAGAGCTTATTAAAACAAAGGTTTCAGACAGGCAAATCTATAGACTGAATGTGGATTAATGGTTCCCTAAGACTGGAGGAATGGGAAAATGGGTATGTAACTGCTAAGGGATATAGGTTTACTTTGTGGGCTAATGAAAATATTCTAAAATTTATGATGATGGTTGCACAATTCTGAATATATTTAAAGCCATTGAGCTATAAATTTTAATGGCTTACCTGTATGTATGTGAATTATATCTCAATAAAGCAGCAAACACACACACACACACAGATTTGCCCATCCCCAGAGATTCTAATGCACTAGGTCTGAAGTGGAGACCATGGGTTTGTCTTTGTTATGAGCTCCCATTAAATGTGATGTTGATTCTGCAAGTCTGCAGACCATACTGCTCCATCCCATGGAAAGGTGCTCATGCTTAATAAGCATAATAATGTTTCATCATCAAGGGCTCTTTCTTCAGTTCTGGCCATAAAGGGTCAGGTGCCATGATGCTTCCAAAGTTGTCTCACAGAAATGAGAGCCAAGATTGCAAAGTGAGGATGTGACGTCAGCCCACAGCAAGCCTAGAGGTTGACAGCTGGGAAATGTTCTGCAGCTCAACGAAGCCCCTAGTAAAGCCCGGAGATAAGAGGAAAAGGAAAAGAGAAACCCATTCACCATTCTTGATGTTATGCTATGATCTAATTAGGAGGAAATGACAAATACTTAATATGAAAATCCAAATTTACAGAACAAGGCAAAGCAAGACTTTCTATTTAATGTAAAATGCAATTCATTCCCAGAGGTTCTTTGGAAAACTTAAACTGTTATATAATGTTTTATATGAATTTTCTCACAGTATTCTAGCAAAGCCAAACTCTACAGATACAAGATAAACAGAGACCTAAATTACAAAGTACAGAAATTCTTAGCAAAATGGCAGTAACAATGGGAAAATTTGGAACAAGTGCCTTTTGTAGGAATGCCAATGCCACTAGAAGGTTTGCTTAACAAACCAGCCCTGGCACAGGTGCCAAGGCCAAAATCATGGACACCTCCATACCACCTTCAGGACTCTGGGATCCCTTCCCCTGCAGTCTCTCATTCCCTAAACACACACCTCAAAAAATCTCAGCAGAATTCCTGAGCATTGTTTGCAGCTGTTGGTGGGGCTGTCACTGTTTCTGCATTTTGAGATATAGCGTATAACAGGAGAAATATTTGAACCCAAGGTAACTTGCACAGTGAATTTATTCAACGTCTCCAAGCTGCCTCATCTGGTAAAACAAGGCAAAGAGGACAATGTACACAAACCACACAGTAAACCACATATTCCAGTGTCTGGCATAATAAAATATAGTAACAGCAGCCAACATTCATTATTTACTATTTATTAAACACTCTTCACAATACCCTATTAAAAGTGTCAGCAAACTTTTTCTGAAAGACCAGATAGCAAATATTGTGCCATTCCTCGGCCATACAGTACCTACCCCGACTACTCTGCTCTGTTGTGGCAGGTCAAAAACAGCTGTAGACAATCTGTAAACACATAATATATCTGTCTTTCAATAAAACTTTATTTATAAAAACAAGAGGCAGGCCAGATTTGGCATATGGTTCATAGTTTGCCAAACCTTGCTCCATGAGGCAGGTACTATTATTATCTCCATTTTACAGATGAGAAAACAGAGGCACAAAGGGATCAACTGACCACCCAAGGTTTCCTCATGTAGTCTGATTATGAAGCATACAGAGTCAAATATTCCATCACAGCAGCTGCTATCACCATCATTATTCATAACATTCTCATTCAGTCCAAATCTAAGTTCTGCTCATTCAAAATATGCTGCCCAGCCAGTCAGTCAACAATACCTTCAGGGCTGCCTCGGAGGCTGAAGACCAAACTCAAATCTTTTCTTTTCTTCCCCCACCAACCCCGTCCTGATGTTCCTGGTTGGAGTTCTGTCTGCCTCCTCTGAACCCTCAGTGCCCTTACTCTTTGTACCTCTCAAGTTGATCTCTTTTATTTATTAAACACTTTCTCACCAACCCCTCTGGAGGCCAGGATCATCACATCACAGGGGCTTAACTCCCATATGTCAGTGCATCTGTGAATCTGTTAGTAGTAGGTCTACCAGCTGAAGCTCTAGGGGCCGGGGCAGAGGAAGGAAAGGCCAGTGCCCACACTCACCAGTCCATGGCAGGCACTGAGAGCCGCCGTCCCAACTCTGGTGCCCTGCTGCAGAACCGTGCCACTGAGATGGCAGAGGGGGGCAGAGGAAGCCATCATCTTAACATTGGAGAGGTTCCCATATCTTTTCTCCATGATGTAGCTATTGGAAAGAAATCTTCGATTGACTGTCAAGTTAAAAAATAAGTCCTTCTCCTCATAAGAAATTTTGTAATACACCCAGTCCTCTGAGCCATCCAAATCTCTCTTCCTCCTGCTGCTCGTGATGAGATGGTTCAAGCCATAGGACAGAAAATGCCCACTGGCGTCTACTCGAACTGGGCCCACCAAGTGGTATTCTGGCAGGCTCTTGATAAAATGCTCTGCAAGAAAAGGAGAAATGGAAGAACAGTGAGAGAGATTGGTAATAAGGCAAACCCATTTTTGTTTGGAACTTAGATGCTAGCTTTTTAATTACAAAATTCCACTTGAAGTTTGAAGTTGACCTGAAGTTTAGCGATCCCCTTCATCATACAAATACTGTTAACATTAAATTCCCAGAACAACTCAGATTTACCTAGTGCTCCTCCTCAGTGACATATCAGGTGTTTTATCAGGGACAAATTAAGATGGGAATTAATCCGTGAGGGATACTGTTAGAAAAGGAGCAACCTCTGAATGAGGAACAAGAATCTTTCAAGTCTAGAGTTCAGTAAGACAAATCACAGAGCTTCACTGTTGATTACAAGGCGCTTCAACACATCAGGAGCTTCCTGTTAGGTCAGATTAGAGGGAAAACAACAGAACATGGCGAACTCATCATATACATGCTCACACCAATTAGAGCAAAGAGTGTTCCATAATGTAACAAAGAATGTGCAAAAGAAGAGGGTTTTTTAAAAAATGTTTATGAAATGCATATGATAAGGGGGTATATCAGGATCTGAGGCATTGGCTCAAAATATAAAAACTGCCACTTTAAAAATGCAAGACAGGAACACTTGATCCAACACAAGAACACATACACATTTGGACCTATTCAAATTTGTCTCTCTACCACTACCTCCTTATTTTGTTCTTTGAGAATAACAAAGAATCTACCTAGCAGGGAATTTATCATCACTCTGGATTACAGACTTCTTAAAGAAAACCATTAACCATTTAGTAAGATAAACTAAACTTTTGCTAAAAAAAAAAACAAAAAACAAACAAAAAAAAACTTCTACTTGTCACCTCTCAGTTGTAATTTTGCATTTTGTAACTTGCTTTACTTTGCTCATGTAGCTTCCCCAACTAGAATGTCTTTTGCATTCTATCAAAATCCTGTTTAAGCATTCACATCTCCACTCAAATCCTCCCTCTTCATTCTCCTAGTGTCCCTGGCTAAACTTCTCTCTCCTTTCCCTGAACCCTCATGCTTTTACTTTCTGTACCTCCCAGAATGGCTTCATTTTATATTGCCTTTTATTATTTATCACCAAATCCCTTGAAGGTCAGAATCTTGTACATCACAGGTGCTCAGTTTTATAGGTTGATGTATCAGTAAACACTATTGTAGCTGGTTAATTAAAATAACTGGACTTAATGGAATACAATTATAAAAGGGCTTTTTTTTTTTTTTTCCCCAGACAACTACCTCCAAAATGATTCCAAGTGCAATCATTCTTCTCTGCCTTGGACGAAATATGGGGCAGAACACAGAGTTTCCACTCTCAGGTACTAACAAATGGTCTCCATTTTTAGGTGCAAAAAGTCCGGACGCATTAATTCCAAGTGCAGCAGCTAGGCACAACAGACCACATGGCAACATGGGTGAATTTAACAGCAATGCTCCACGAGAAACAATAAATAAAACAAGCTAATGCAGAGCTGTTTACGTTCATGGAAAATGCGCACACACTGAAACAATAATACGACGTTTTCCAGAACACACAAGAACAAGAACTACAGATGGAACCCATTAAAATGGTTTTCCATGGGGAAGAACAGGAGTAGGGAGTGGGAACAAAAATGCATAAATATATACAATAAGAAAAGCTTTTTCACAAATTCATGATAGTAGTGTGCCATGAACTGAGGTGTATAACTGACTCAGTACTTTCTCCTGCCCACTTACTCCCTAAGAAATGTCTGCACCAATTTAGTATTGGAGGACCTTCCAAGTCTAGACCTACCGAAGAGAGAAACTGTCGGTGGGGAGGTGGATGCAGTCAGCTCCTGCGGTATTTCTCTCTGGCTGCTCTTCTCCTCTGCTACTCACAGTGATGCCTCTGGCTCTTCCAGAGCTCAAACAGGGAAGGCAATTAGGGGCGGAAAATATCTTATTCAGTTGGGTCTAGCAATGGTGTCATCTAGCAATGGTGCCCTGTATGTAGCCAGTGTTCACATACTGACTGACCTCTTCTATTAAGAGAAGCTCCAAAGGCATTAGGAGACCTCTGCCCCCTTCAGGTTCCTCAATGTGAGCAATTCCTCCTCCAACTGGCTGCCCACTGCTTTCCCATCTTCTACCATTTTACTGAAACCATGTTACCCCTGCAGGGCATCCTCCTTGGCATCTTTTCAAGATGATCCACATCTGGTTGCCTCCCATGAGGTCCAAATCTGGCTCACAAGAGGAACCACATCCCTGACCTTCCCTCCACCCCCACCCCATGTCATGAATTTCAGGCCACTCCTGGCCATGCTCTTGGTCAGTCCTGTCACTAAATGTCATTCCAGCCAGTCTTTTGCCTATCAGTATTAAGGCTAAAACGTTAGTGGTCATGCTCCCCAAGCCCACACCAAGCTCTCTGAGACCTCTAACCATCCCTTCACATGTCTTGAGTTGGGGCACAGTAGGAGGAATGAATGCCCTGGCACTCTCATCTCTCCTGAAAAAATTCTGTCTCTGAAATCTCTCCACAGGCCTTTAAGCCTCTCCTCTCGAGCATACTAGGAGAGTGAAGGAATTAGCATCACACCATCACCCTGCACATCCCACACACAGTCTGAAATTTCTCTTTAAATGTGTGTGAAAAATTATTAATTTTTTTTTCTTCTCAGACTTAAGATTTTGGCAGAAACTGAGACAAAGAAAGAGTTCCATTTTAATACCCTGTTACACATGCAAGTCTGCATCTTCATCAAAACAGAAAAATAAACATCTTTTCTAGCAGATTACTTTTTCAAAAAGCCAGAGTGATTGATTTAAGGGGAGCACAAATGAAAAGCAACAGGTGAGGGGACGGAAGGCAGCAAAGCACACTGCCATGTGTGTACCTATGCAACAATCTTGCATGTTCATCACATGTACCCCAAAACCTAAAATGCAATAAAAAAAAATGAATTCTGAATAAAATGTTACACTCTTCCAAGTCAAACGAGCATATAACCTATTGAACAACTCTGAAAAGAGTTGAAAATCTTATTTGTTATACCCAGAAAACTACTATAATAAAATTAAGGTTGTCTTGAAACAAACTAACAAGTATGATTCTCAATCAATCTTACATTATTAAAAAAGTACTCTAAATTTTTATGTAAGTTGATATATCAAAATAATTGTGGCAATTTTGCAGAAGTATGATCTCTTCTATAATTGCAACTGTGAGATATATTGATATACATGCATATGAACAAAGCCTTTGAAATAATGGGTAAGAGCGAAAATGTTTATGATGATGAGATTTGGGGTGTGGTTTTTCCTTCTGAAATTTGTAGTTCCTGTGTGGCTTTTCCCAATTAAAGATAAATAGGTGAGAAGGATAGGATTGAATGAGAGAGTGCTGTGCTGGCTTGTAAGATAACTATATAAAATATCCAGTAGACAAGGTAAGTAAGGCATGCCAGTGCCCCATGACACAAGGCAGTCTGACACTGGTCGCTCCTGACGCCCTGCTGGCTGTGCCCATTACAGCTGGCTGCATCCTGAGGGAAGAATTCACCTTGGAAGAGGCATCCCTTGACTGAGACCACTGGACATAGGGAGGGAAGGCTAGAGTAGAGCTCAAGGTCTCCTCAGGCAATAGAAAAGCAAAATGAGTTTGGAGTGACAGATCCACAGGACTGTTATCAGGAGGTAAGGGTGTGGGAAAAACCAGGCCAGGGTAGAAGCAGCTTTAAATGGCAGGCTAGTATTCTGCCATCCAGGCCATCTGGTGGATAGAAGCAATAATCCCAGATCTGAGTTAGAAGAATTGCAATGGGAAGGGTGCGGAGGAAGCAAACTTAATCGAGGAGTTACATCGATGTATCCAGAAAACATATTTTTCCATATACTTTCCAACTTAAAATATCCCTTATAGAAACCGCTTCTGAAGATACATCTCACAGATTTAAACATGACTCTTGAAAGCATAAAATGAAAGACGAAAGCTTGTCAAAGCCCTAGCACCTATTGCTCAAAAAATAAAAGAGCAAACAAATTTATAAATTTTGATCCAGTTGCTTTTGATCTAATGGATTTTCAAGAGAGCCAGTCTAAATTGGCTGTAGAATAATATGATGATAATAATTATAGTGTTTCATGAGCGCTTATTATGAGTCAGGTACCATAAGTCTTTCCTCATTCAATACTCACAACAGCCCTGTGACAGAGATTCAGTTGTTATCCCCATTTCATAGGTAAGGAAACGAGTGTAGAAAGTCACTATGCCACATTATACAACATTCCTTGGATTGAAACGCTGTGCCTCCTATTCCAAAACCATGCTCTAACCACCACACTTGATTAGTGACCAAAGAAAAGCCAGTGCTCTTGGCAGAAAGCATAGCAAGGTTAGCGCTAATAACACTGCTCCTAGGGACGGTGATCTGACCAGACAAGAAGTGCTTCACCTCTTTACACCTCAATTTGCTTAGCAATCAATGGACTTAGTAATTGCCTCTTTTTCAGGCAAAGTAATGGGAAGTAAGATCAGTTTTCCCTCCTAATCTGATTGCACAGGAGGCAGCTAAGCCATGGCAGCCCATAGATGTGGATGGAAATCAGAAGTCACTTACAAAGTGTGGTTTGTGTTGGTGACCCAAGCTGAGCTACTTCATCTATACAAAGGGCATAATAATAATAACATCTACCTCCCTGGTAGTCGAGTTTCTACCCTTAAAACCAACAACGCTAGTGTTTAGCTAATGAATGTTATTTGTCAAGTACGATTTTAAATCTATTAAATATATTAATATATTGGAGCCTCACTCCCAGCCCAGGAGGTAGATGCTTTTTAATGGAACGCTTCAGAGATTTGCATGTCATCCTTGGACAGGGGCCACGTTAATCTCCGTATCACTCCGATGTTAACATATCTGCTTCCAAAGTGAACATTAACTGTATTTATTCTTTATATTTATTTCTATCTTAGAGAGAATTGAATGTCTAACACACATTTTTTTTAAAAAGTTATGAAATTCCTGTAATAGAGGTTTATTTTCATAGTTACCTTCCCTGTAAGATAACTGTAACCTTGCAACACTATTTTTATTACAGAAATTTACACATGTTGAAAGGTTGTTGAAATGTTGTGAAGAACTGTGTTGTTCTCCTCAAAATTGTGAAGTATGCCACAGAAGGATGGATTTGCTCACCAACCTATTATAACTAATCCACTAACTATATAGCTTATTATAACCATCACAAAATATCAAATCTGTGGACTCTCTTCTTATATTAATAGCTGAAAACATTTCCTCCTTGCAGAATTTCTTTTGGCAAATAGAATACATAAATAATTAAAACACTTATCTGAAAACACTGCAACGTTCCCTCTGTTTCTTGCACAAGACTGGAGTTCATCTCTAATACGGAATAAAGTGCCTGTCGTGTTGATTTCACAGAGATGTAGGGAGCAAAAGAGGTCATGGAACAGACTGGCGCTTTGTAAACAGCATAGGGCAAATAAACCTAAGGGGATATGATTGGCTGTAGAAAAGAGGGAGTATGTTGTGTGCAAGCTTAATATTTCCCATTGCTCTGATACTTGGTTGTGAACCAAGAAATCCTGAGTAAGTCACAGCACATTCTTACATCACAACCGAGCAATGTGGAAAGAATACTGGGCAGAGTTAACCAAATAGCCTATTTCTATGTTTCTAGTCTCAGAAAGGACTGAATTTACCTCCATACTCCTTCCAATGACTAAAACCCTGACTTAGTTCAACTCTTAGAACTAGAAGGAACCTAAAAGCTTATTTAGTGTCTGAGTCTGTCTCCAACCGTGGAACCCTATGCAATTCCCTTTATCCTCCTGGTAAAGGGGTATTTAGTAGGTGCTCAATCATATATGTTCACTAACTGATGCCCTAGACCTCCCATTCTTATCCATAAAAGTAAAAATGGCCACCAGGCATGGTTGCTCATTCTTGTAATCCCAGCATTTTGGGAGGCCGAAGTGGGAGGATCGCTCAAGGCTAGGAGTTCAAGATCAGTCTGGGCAACATAGCTAGACCTCATCACTATTAAAAAAACAAATAAAATTTTTCAAAACTAAGAATGAGATGATCTTTGAAATAATTTGCAAGTTTAAATGTTCAGGATTTGAGTGCATTCAAAAATGTTATCAAAGTGGACATGGAAGTCTAAGGAGATTGGTTATTCATGAGGCTGTAGGTCATTTGAAAGGAAAACCCAGGCTATCCTAATCCCAAATAGCCTTAGAATTTCCTTCTCTACTAGTTTGCCCTCATCTATCCTTTCCTCTCTCTTTCCCACTCCCTTTAATTCTAAATGTAAGTCTGCTTAGAAATTTCTCCTTTGCACCAAATGTGAATTATTTGTAAAGCCACTAGGGAATTGATTATGGTTGGTGAAATGCTTTTAAAAACTGAAATTATTGGCCTAGTGTGGTGGTTCACACCTGTAATCCCAGCACTTTTGGAGGCTGAGGCGGGCAGATCACCTGAGGTCAGGAGTTCGACACAGCCTGACCAACATGGTGAAACCCCATCTCTACTAAAAATACAAAAATAAGCTGGGCATGGTGGCTCATCTCTGTAATCCCAGCTACTCAGGAGGCTGAGGCAGGAGAATCACTTGAACCCCAGAAGTAGAGGTTGCAGCGAGCCAAGATGCAGCCACTGCACTCCAGCCTGGGAGACAAAGAATAACTCCATCTCAAAAAAAAAAAAAAAAAAAAAAAACACAGAAATTATTTTTAAACCAAATACCAAATATATATCACCAATAAGCTTGGAGCACTTTATAGGTTTTCTTGAGCATTGGATACTCTCAGTGAATAGCTCTACATAGAGGTGACTAGGGAAAATAATCATATCTCACTTTCCAGAGAGCAACAACCACGGCCCGGTGGTGTCTGCTTCACATCAAGCTGAATTCCCTTACAAAGAAGATGTGGCGCAAACAGAGCTGAAAACCAACCCAGGAGAATGTGTGTCTTTGAACCAAATCATCTCCCAATGCCCTGGGAAGTGCTTGCAGGCTTTGTTTGTGCTGCCCCAGAGGAGAGACTTTTCACAAAGGAACTGTTTTTCAAAGAACAACAAGCCCTGCTATTTTAAACTTGGGAGTGGGAGATTGTATCTGGACCGTTTACACAAGTGAGTGCTGGCTGATTGACATCTAACCCCAGTGCTTGCCGGCTCCAGCTTTCCAAGTAAAGCAAAGAGAAGGACTTGCTTCTGATACTTCTTGAGGCCACAGCAGATTAATTCTCCAGCAATGTTTGAATTTTACAACATGGGCAGAAAACCCTCCTTAGAAATCCTAAACAAGGATAGGCTGGTGATGTTTATCATTCAAGTGTTCTTGGGAATTAAAGGGATGTCAGAAAGCCACGGAGGACAGTTCCGGAGACTTCAGCACAGTCAGCAAACACAGGACTGGGTGAATGCCAACCCAGTGCTCTGTGTGCGTGTGTGTGTGTGTGTGTGTGTGTGTGTGTGTACATGTGCATGTGTGCATGCACACACATAAATCCCTATTATTGCTATAGGACAGTGCTGCATGATTCTAAGAGTCAGGCTACTTGGGCTCAAAACCCTGCTCCACATTAGCTGGGTTCATAAGCTCTCCCAGCTGCAGCTTCCTCATCTGTATAGCAGGGACAGGGACACTGATACCTGCACCCTGGAAGACTATTGCCAGTGGTCAGATGGGCTGACACAGATTGCCAATGCGGGACATTGCTGCTGCTAGGACCGTTTACCCCCAGAGGTACAACGAACCCCTCACCAAACACGAAGGTGTCTCTGACCCTTCCAGTTCCAAGAAATTGCTGAGTGTTAGGCTTAAAAGAATAAAAACAACAACAAATTGTCCTCCAGAACGCTTCCAGTGCTTTTTACAATAACACGAGTTCAGAAATCAGAAAGAGAAGCAGCCGGCTGTGGTCAGCGCGACAGGACAGGAAAAAGTGAGCCCTTCCCGGGGTATATTTCCCCCAAAAGGACTGTTCTTTTAAAAACACAACCCTAAATCTTTCCAGAAAACCAAAACACAGCCAAGCCTGCTCAACAGGGGGGCCGAATCACACTTCCCCTTTCCTGACCAGAAGTTTAAAACGAACTAGAAACAGTGCAATGACTGCCAGTAGCCAGCTGGCACTTAAAAATAATAATAATAATAATGTTCCATGTTCAGAGTCTGAAAGATAGGGAATCGAAACAATACAGCATTCAAAGAGGAGACAAAAGAGAGAAAGTGACCAGCCACCTCTGGGGTCTTTCAAAGACCACAGTGTCATCTTTGTAAAAGAGAGAGCGAGGTACTCACCTTTCTGTAAGAATGAAGGACTCATCACCTTAATGAGAAAGCCTAGGTTCCTGAGCTCCCAGCCCAGGTTTTTTTTATAACGCAGCCAAATGGCTTTGCAGCGTTCAAGTCTGCCGGGTGGGGGAAGGGAAACGAGAGCAGCAAAGTTCCTGCATGTCTTACCACCACCGTTTTAAAAGGAAATTAAGAAAAGCCACTAACCTTGCCTCCTGTCCGGGAGGCTAAACGGGCCTGGCTGAGGTTGTCTCCCATGGCAAAGCGCCCCGAAGTTGAGGAGCTGAGCCACCATGGAAAGGTTTGCAAGCCAGCTCCGCTGGGCACATGGCATGATTCAGTTGTTGGGGAGAAGAAAACTCAAAAAAGTTTTAGCCCTCAGCTCCAGAAATGAAGTGCTCGCCTGAGGCCCAGCAGGAAGATGCAGGGGTGCATGGTCCAGGCGCGAGAAGGCAGCGACTGCAAAGCTGCCCGCGATCTCCCTGTGCTTTTTTTAAGCAGAAAGGGGCTAGACACCTTTTTCCCCTCCCTCCTCCTGAGAGGGGGAGTGATTCAGCTAACAGTGTCCGCTTTCCGCGGGGTGTGGCTGGGCCAGAGCGGGAGGGCGCAGCCCACCCCGGTCCCCACCCCTCCGCCTCCCGCATGCCCCGGGGCGTCGCAACCCGCTCGGTGCATGGTCCTCGGGGACTCCCACCCCCGCGCTCCTCCGGCCCCGCCCCGAGCGCCGGGCCCAGCCAGCCGAGCTGACCGAGCTGGCCAAATAGGGGAGCCCCGGGAGAGCCGCCCTAGTCCGCATTCGAGGAAGCCGCGAGTGAGAGGCCCCCAGGACAGCCCCCCAGAGTGCCGAAATACGGGCGCAACACAAAGAGAACAAAGTTGGGGCAGAGGCGGCCCCACTCCCTCCGTCCTTCGACGCTCAGCGCTGCCCCCACCCCTGCTGTTCTCCTCCACGTTCCTGAACTTTTTCCAACATCGCTCTATCAAGACTCCTCACCCACTCGGACCGCTCTGGGATTCTCTTCCACTGGAAAAAAACTCATAGGCAATTTTTGTCTTTGCCAAGTCACACAAAGGGAAATGGGCTGCGCTAATCTGCTACTGCGGCCTCAGCCAAGCCCCCTCATCTCTGCAACGAGGTGACTGCAGCAAATGCCTGTGGGCCCCTCTGAGTCTGCAGGTCTCTAGGCAGCTTTTCAAGGCTTTTAGAACCCCATCTTTCCTAGCCCACCTCCATTCACTCAAAAGGAAACCAGGAGAGTGGAGGAAGGAAGTCAGCCCGGGAAGGGGTTAAGGTATCTCCCCAGTTTCCCTGAACTGGCTACCCTGGAGGGGGCGTCCATTCATTCAGAGGCTCAAGCTCTTACATCTGTGAGAGAAATCTACAAACTAGGGTGCTTGCCAGGCATCTTGAGAATTTACTGGGCTAATCCAGCCAAGATTTTTCACCTCTGAGCTGAAACAGACCTCCTTACTCCATCCAGGAAGAATTCAGCCCCAATATTGAATTTTCCCTGGCTGCCAGCCAACCACATGTATTCATGGAGAGGTTTGGGATACCAACTCACCCAATCTTGAATAGGGACAGAGCCTCCAAGGCAAACTCAGCGGCCCGCGTGCACAGTGGTCTCTCAGATCTGGAACACATGGGCAACAAGACTTTTAGGTATATGCTAGTTTCCTATTATTGCTGTTACAAGTTACCATAAATTCAGTGGCTTGAAGCAACTCAAATTTCTTATGTTACAACTCTTGAAATCAGATATCTGAAACTGATCTCACTGGGCTAAAATCAACGATTTAGCACAGCTGCATTCATTTCTGAAGACTCGAGGGGAGTATCTGTTGTCTTGCTTTTTCCAACTTCTAGAGGCCACCTGCATTCCTCAGCTCATGACCTTCTTCCCCCATCAAAGCTAGCAATGGCCCTTTGAGTCTTTCTCACATCACATCACTCTCTCTTCTTCCTGGCTTTTCCGCTTATAAGGACCTTTGCGATTACATTAGGCTCATCTTGCTTATCCAGCATACTCTTTAATCAGCTGATTAGCAACCTTAGTTCCATCTGCAACCTTAAATCCACTTTGCATGTAACATGTTTTGTCGTCACAAGTCAAATAACTACTCTGAGCCTTTTCTCTGTTACATAAACATTAGGCAGCAGGGTCCCAACTGGAGTCAAAAGACATTCAGGTAACACAGGCACAATGACCTGCACTTGCAAGGGCACTGAAGAACCACTTGGACCAGAATTCCTTTTGTTTCTTTTCCTTTCTTCCTCTCCCCTTCTTTGCTTCCCTTTACCCTTTTCTTCTCTCTCTCTCTCTCTCTCTCTCTCTCTCTCTCTTTCTCTCTCTCTCTCCTTCTTGTACTCTTCCTGTGACTCTTCTTCCACTTTTTTTTTTCCTCCTGCTGCTCCTTTTAATAGCAAGCAAGATCTTGTCCAAGGGCAAGGTCACTCCCAGGCCCTAGAGAAGAGATTTTTCTTTCAGGCAGAAACCTAAAGAATTCTGGAGAACTGCTGAGTTCCACCAATATCAGGGATGATCAGGGATGATGCACTGAAGAGTGTTCTGGCCTCACAGTTTAGCCTTTTCCATTCTAATAGCAGTTCCCTTATTCTTTCTCCCATCTACTCTCAAGACTATAACCAGGAATATCTATTACCTAGAAGTCAATCAAGACTGAAATATTAAAATTATAAAATCTTACCAATGCTTTGTATTCTGCCAGCCCTTCCAAACCTTTATACCCAGTACCTTGGATCTTCAGCCTAATAGGAACTTCTAGTCCCTTAATCTCCCCATCTTTGGTTTTCTAACAATCAGCATCTCTCTGGGTTCACCACCTTTTCTGCCCAGTCATACCCTTTGATCCATCTCCTTAACCCAGTATATTTAACATCTCATATCTTGCTCATCAAAATCTAACTTTCTTTTACCCCAGGTGTAGATTTTCTCTGCTCTCTGTTTACAAGGCTGTTGAAAAAAACTCACATAATTGCATCTAATGATGCAACTATCAATTCATGTCTCCAACTTTAGTGAGTTCTCAACACAACTTAGCACAAATATACATTCTTCTACTACTCTACAGTTCCTCCTACTCTCTCCAGAATTTACAGAATCTCTCCAAAGCTTGGAGTTTCCTCACTATAGAGAGAAGACTTAATCCTCCTCAACTTTGCTTCTGCGTAGTGGGAAAAGATAATAAATCCCCTTGGTAACCAAGGTCAGTAGCAGTAAAAAGCCACCTACGTTTCCCGCCCGCTGTAGGTAACAGAACTGTGAATCACTGCATAGTCTCCAAACTATCCCTGAGCTTGTGCAAACATGCTGCCCATGGGGAAAAACTACGAAACCATACAAGATTCCAGAGTCGAATGATAGCTAAGAACAGCAAGCATTTATTACATGCTGACTATATATTTGGCTCTGTGCTGAAGACTATATGGGCCTTGCTTTACTTAAACTTCACAAAAAACTTATGATGTGAGTGCCATCAGCATCTTCATTTTATAGATGAGGAAACAGCCACTGAAAAGTTAAGTGACTTGCCTAGGACTAAGTGGCCATGAAAGTAAAATCAGGATGAAACAGTAAAGTTCAGAGATGTAGCAAAACCACTAACTCAATTCAAATGTAGATCTGCTTTACTTACAGCCCCTAGTAATGTCCTCATCCACAAAAAGTGGATGGGATTAGACTACTGACATACAGACATCATCAGAATGCCTTGGGTAGTAGTTTAGTTCATTATAGTATTCTCCATGTAAAAATGTCATTTGTGACTGAAGATCTAAGATACCTCACAAAGAGCTCCCTCTGTTTCATTAGCAAATAAGGCAGAAAAAAATGTTCATACTTTCCTAATAAACACTTAGGATCACAAGGGATGGCTGAAGTTCAAGGAAAATTAGCTCAATGCATCTTTCAGAGCTGTCATTGGCATCAGATAGAAAAAAATAAATAAATTGCCAGTGGCTGAAAAAACCCTGACTTGGCCATAAGAATCACCAATACATATGCTACTCACATCTATTCATTCTGCCTAAATACCACAATCATCATCTCATAACAATAATTATTATATCACACCTTACAGTTTTTAAGGTGTTTCCCCTAAGCAGGTCAAAGGGTAGAAGAGAGAAAAATCTTCATCTGACATTTTCAAGAGTAGTTAGACCTTAACTCCACCTGGAACTCAAAAAGTAGTGACTTCGAACATCACATTTAAATATCTTTACCACATGTACTATTTTCTTTTAAATTTTTCTGCAGCCAGACCTCACAAGAATTCACTCAAGTTACTGAGAACACAAAAGTCTCTCTCTCTTTTTTTTTTTAACTCCATTTCGAACTTTTCTGTAAGTTTGAGATTGTTTCTAAATTTTGTTAAATTATTAAATGTCATAGTCTGTTCTCATCCTTCATAATAATTGAATACTTGGTAGAGATGCTATAGAATTTTTGGAAATTAGGGAGGCTTATAATGACACATGTATCTATTATATTCTAGAACTCAGCCAATTAAATGTCCATGTATGGTAGTTTTTGGTGCAACCGGGCAAAAGTGTCCATGAGGACAGTTGTGGATCTTATCACCACCAGATTGGTCTTATGTTGGTCCTGAACCACATGAACTCTATTCCCTTTCTTTCATTCAACCTTAAAGATTAAAGCTGAGTTGAAGAATAGTGTGCCCACTTTTTCCCATGGAGAGGAAGAAATTAGTGGTGAAATCTATCAGGGACACTTTCAGTACTACCCGTTTAGCCAAAAGAGAATACTCCATTTATTTATTTAACAAATATTATTGACTGTCTACTATGTCCAGTCACTGGGAATGGAGCAATAAATGAAATAGAGTCTCTTGCCTCATACATGCATGCAAATGCTCTAGTGTAAATTTGTGGAAGGTAGAGATATAGAAAAAAACAAATAAGTAAATATAGAATATGTGCTATAGTGATAAAGCAAAGGAGAACAAGAGGCAGGCTAAGGAGGACAAGGAGTGACTGAAAGGAGTAGTTTACAATTTTATATGAGGAAGCTCAAGAGTGATCTCTCTAATAAGAAGATATTAGCATCAGCCTGAAGCAAATAAGAACCTGAGTAAAATAGTTATCCAGGAGAAGACTATTCCATGCTTGGAAAGCAGCAATAGCAAAGACTATCAATCGGGAATAAGTAGAAATATGCTTGGAGAGCTCAAGAAAAGTAAGGAGTTTGGTCTGGCTGGAGCGCATTGGCAAGTGGAGAATGGTGGTAGAAGTGGGGAGATTGTGTGGGTCCTTAGAGACCATAGGGGTGACTTTGGGTTTTACCATAAGCAAATTAAGAAGCATTGGGGATTCTGAATAGAGAAGTGACAAGAACAGACTTAGGAGCTAAAAGGATCTCTTTGGGTGCTGGTTGAGAATGACTGTAGAGAGGTAAAGGCAGATGCACAGAGAGCACTTAGGAGATTGATGGATTAGC